CCTCATAGCCTATCCATCCCTCCTGGTTCCCAAGTTCCAATGCAAAACCGTATTAACAATATCACTACAAGGGAATCTTAACAGACATTTGCTTCACCGAGAAAAATGGATGTTTCCTATTCAAGTTACAAAACACTGTCAAAGTCTAAATCTGGAAATTTTTATGTCAAAAGTTCTATTAGTACAAATATATATATAACCACACACTAGAATAAATCAATGATAATTTTTAATTAAGACACAAAACTAGTAACAATAAAAAAAACCACCACCTCAATACAACAATGCTAAAGCACTGATTACAAATCTCTCTTCCAAATTATGGGAAATACAATAAGCTATATTTGTACGTATGTAGTAGGAGATCTGTAACACTTCCAAGTATCAAACAAAAGAACAGACTTCTTCCTAAAGAGTCTTTGAGGAATCACACGCTGATACTCATCAGCTCTTCCTAACCTTCTCATGGCTTTCTTTTAATCTTCCTAATTTTTTAATTTTCTTTCTCGTATTCTCCTTTCTTGATGTATTTAGTCATCTATGCAATATTCAGCTAGAGGCATACTCGGTCACTTCCCCATGAGTTAGTTTTATAATTTGTTGGTTGGTTTGTTTTCTATATGTAAAAGCTTCACTCTGTTACTATGTCACCAGGGTCAAAGAAGCATTTCAGCATTCTGAGCAGTGGTCTACCCATTTCTAGCAAGTGGGGACATGGGGGACACTGGGAATTGACTACATACTCCAACTGTAGTCTACCGCTGGAGGAGACTGGAGCTTCCACTGTTGCTAGACTGATAAAAAATGAAGTCCTCATCGATCAGGCATCTTTTACACTTAGGACCTAAAGTCCAAAAAATGCATCAGATAACTTACTTGTTGAATGAATTAGTAAGCTACTGGATGACAACTTATCTCAGAATTAATTTTATTTCTCCTCAAGAAACTACTTCAGGAAACATCTGATAAAAAAAATAGTAAGACTGCCTTAATTCCTCAAGACAGACCTTGTGGACTTCAAAACTATTAAATAATGAGGTTTCCCTTTTGATTAATTAATTAAAAGGAAAAATACACTTTATGGATGATACCAGGAACAGTATCTAACAGCAAAAAAATCAAGTTCACATCCTTTATATTATTTGATACCTATAATAACCTTATGAAGTAAAAGGGAAAATATTACAAATTTCATTTCACAGTTAAGGAAGCTGAGGCACAAAAATGAAATGATGTTTCCAGAGACCCTGTGTTTAGTAGGAAGAATACACGACCTGGATTTGAATTCAGTGGTGTTACACTGCAAATTATTTAGCTTTTCTGAACCTCTGTCCTATCCTTTGTAGAATGGGGATAATATTAGTACTTATCTCACGGTGCTATTGTCAGGATGAAGAGAGAAAGTGTTTTTAAAGCCCCCAGCACAATGCCTGGCAGAGTAATTACTCAGTAAATGGTCCCTTCCTACTTAATAGCCATGACCTTGCACAAGTTATACAAGTTCAAGTTTCAGACACATAAGGCAGAAAGTTCATAACTGTAAATTCTCGAGAGAAAGACTATTCCCATCCAGAGACCATGTCAAGACAAGTAAGCTCCTTTGTTTCCCTACACCATGAGGCAGATATTTTTTACTCTTATGTTTTCACCAATGGCGTGATGTTAGGTGTTAGGGTCCTGGCTTTATGTAGTTGTCTCAGTTCTGATTCATGAATCAGGTTCAAGATCTTATCTCCTACCTGAAATGTTCCTAGGACTGACAGATCATCCAATAGAAAACAAAGGCTCTGATAGTGGTTTGGTTTTTCTATATCCCCAGATGATTTTTTCCTAAAGATTGGGCCAATAACCAGGTGACTACAAAGATCACAAACTTGACAACTTCAGTATTAGAAATAATTTTTTTACTGACATCTCTCTTGAGGGACTATGCGATAAATACTGCAGTAAAAAGTGTGGGTTTGAAAGTAAGACTGCCTGGATTAAAATGCCAGCTCTACCACTTACAAAACGATGTAACTTTAGGCATGAGGACTTAATCTCCCTGTACCTCAGTTTCCTGATCTATAAAAACACACAATAACAGTACCTACATCACAGGATTGTTGTCATAAACAAATTTTTGGTGTAAGGCACTTAGAACAGTGACTGGCATATACTAAATGCTCAGTGTGTATGTATGTGTGTGTGTTAGTCAATCAGTCGTGTCGTGATCCCATGGACTGTAGCCCGCCAGGCTCCTCTGTCCATGAAATGCTCCAGGCAAGAATACTGGAGGGGGCTGCCATTTCTTTCTCCAGGGGATCTTCTCGACCCAGGGATCAAACCTGGGTCTCCCACACTGCAGGCAGATTCTTTACCATCTGAGCCACCAAGGAAGCCATAAATGCTCAATAATTGTTAGCTATTACTATACAATGCAAACTCCATAAAACAAACACTATGTTTTGTTCACTGCTATATTCCCAGAGCCAACAAGAATGTCTAACAGATAGGCACTAAATGTTTATTGAATGAGTAAATGAACAGTCAACACAAACTTATTGTTAGGTGTGTTTAAAGTATTTATTTGCCCCTAGAGAAAGAGACCATATGTTCAGAGAGAAATATTAAGTCCCAAGTCTAGCAATAAAATTAAACAATGGGATTGAAAAGCAGACAGTGTCATTTGACTTCATGGATATAAGACACTTCAAGATACTGAAACAATCTTTGACTCCTCCTTTTAGTAGTACTCCATGGGATATTTCTTTTTAGTTTATGGAGTTTTTCCCCCCTTGTGCTAGTAGTAAAGGCAAAGGTATATTGTTCTCAAGGGTACAGATACTTTCAATTATTTGGCATGGACTGAGGGGAGTTATTTTCTTTTTAAAAAAATACCAACTAGGGAACTCCCTGGCAGTCCAATGGTTAGGATTCCACGCTTTCACTGCAGGGGGCATGGGTTCGATCCCTGTCACATGCCGTGCAGTATGGCAAGAAAAAAAAACAAAACAAGCAAAAACCACCAACTACTCTTCAGAGATCCCTAGACACCAAATAAAGTTGTAGGTATGACCAACCTAGACAGCATATTAAAAAGCAGAGACATTACTTTGTCAACAAAGATCTGTCTAGTCAAGGCTATGGTTTTTCCAGTAGTCATGTATGGACGTGAGAGTTGGACTATAAAGAAAGCTGAGCGCCAAAGAATTGATGCTTTTGAACTGTGCTGTTGGAGAAGACTCTTGAGAGTCCCTTGGACAGCAAGGAGATCCAACCAGTCCATCCTAAAGGAGATCAGTCCTGGGTGTTCACTGGAAGGACTGATGCTGAAGCTGAAACTCCAATACTATGGCCACCTGATGTGAGAGCTGACTTATCTGAAAAGACCCTGATGCTGGGAAAGATTGAGGGCAGGAGGAGAAGGGGACAACAGGGGATGAGATGGTTGGATGGCATCACTGACTCAATGGACATGAGTTTGGGTAAACTCCAGGAGTTGGCGATGGACAGGGAGGCCTGGAGTGCTGTGGTTCATGGGGTCGCAAAGCATCAGACAAGACTGAGCGACTGAACTGAACTGAAGGCAAGCTTCTTGCAGGTATCACTTCAAGGCTTGGCCAGTGTGGCAAAGGGCTCTGTGTTAAAGGGCAAGAAGCTAGATTTGAATCTACAAAAGATCAAGACTTGCAAAGGTAAATAAATCCCCTTCCCTTTCATCTTAGCTCATGTAATAAAGCTATTCCATGAAACAAAACAAAAATTCAGGTCAGCAGTCACTTAGCAGATGAGCAGTTCATAGCAATGACTAACTCAAAGAGATCCTTTAGCATTATTTCCTCTTAACTACTAGCATTAGTTTTGAAATATAATATGGTAAACAGAGAAGCTGGGTTAATAATGGAAAGAGCGCTGGGCTTGCAGTCAGTCCCAGCTCTGCTATTTAGTAGCTGTGTGACCTTAGGTAAAGAAATTAACTTCTCAGTTTTCTTACCTGCTAAACCTCTATCTTGACTACCTCACAAAACGGCACTGAGGAATAAATGGGATGTGTATGACAATGCCTTTAAAATACTAACATACTATGGAAATATTAACATAATTGAAAGAAGGGTTTCTGCTGTGAAAAGTTGGATAGCATATTAATGGAGGTAAGAGCTCAGGTTCACCCGAAATTAAAACCTATTAAAGCAATTTGCCACTACAGGTAATATAATGTAACTACTTAACTAAAATATTTACCTTTAACATGCTAGAATCTTACTACATTTTTTAACAGGTGTTAAGAGGTCACAGAGAGAGGATTTAATATAACCTTTTCACTTTAGAGACTTAAAATTGGAGGCACAGAGAAATGAAACGACTTGCCAAAGGTCACAAGGCCTATGGAAAGAAAATAACTGATATTACATAACCAGGAGCACTGAAACTTTTTTTAAAATGCCCTTAGAAAAGGAGAATATGACATTGAACATGCATGAAGATGCTTTTGAGAGCTAAGCAAAGTGTTCATACAAGGGAGAACTGGCGATACCAAAAAAGAAAAAAGATCTTTATACAGTTAACAAAATGTTTAAATAATTTAACCACTCCTCTACATTTACCAGTAACTGATTCTTTACTATCTGTATTTAAATATTCTATTCTTTGGAAGGATACCTCTACAAATTATAGACAAATAATTTGCAAATGTTTATACAAAGGGATAGTGCTTTGCAATTCATCTCAAAATCATCTGGCTTCTTTCCCAGCTCTTCCTGACGAACACTCTAGACAGGTGAGTGTCAAAACTACTACTTATGCTAGTAAGAGAAACTACCTGATCCAAAATTTCTTACCCCTCAAAACTCTTTTTCCCTCCTCAGAGGACCTGTACAAAGTGTTCATCTATTTCCCCCTTTTTCATGACTCACATCTCACCTTATGCAATTTTCTACAAAGTACACACACTCTTTCAGTCTCAGGAATTATACCAACTGTTTAAGACATGAAGCTGAAAAACACAATACTTTACTTACCCTCAGAAAGTTCATAATCTGGAGAGACAGCCAGCCTCATTAAAAATACTAGTACCATAAAGTAATTCCCGTACCCAAAGCACATATAATGAATGTACAAGGGAGACAGAAGAAAAGGAGCCCAAGGCTACCTGCGGGTAAACGAAGGCTTCACAAAGGAGGTAGGCTTAAAGGGAACTTGAAAGTTAAACAGTCAAGCAGACAGCACTCCAGGCTAAAGGAAGAGTCTAAGCAAAACTAGAGGCATGATAAACAGTATGTGTGCTCAGTATGACTGAACATAAAATGCAAGGACTTTTTCTCATAAAATGATTAGCTCATTAAAGAATTAGATCTTAAGAATCCTCGTATGCTGCACAGAACTATTTGCTGGACTCCCACTATGTGATTTACGCTGCCAAGTACACAGGATACAGATAATTGCAGACCCACTGCTGGCCACAGGCACAGCTGCTACCTGTGCTGTGCAGTACCATCTGTGTGGCTGCAGCAGCCCTATGAGACCACTGTAAACTAGTGGGCCCTAAACTGTAGGTTTCTTATGTGGAATGAAGAATCCGCAAATTTACATGCATTCCAAGTACGCTCTGTACACAATAATATCTTGAAATGTACACTTTCAATGCCCAACAGATGCTGTTAGAATAATGATTTCCACCAGCCTTTGGGGCTTTTCCCCCTAATTACTGTGTTCTCAAAGTATATTCCTGTCATGTGTCTCAAGCTTTTCAACCTGAAAAAGGTATCTAAATGCTAAAGACAGAAAGCCACCAACATCTGACACTCTACGAATGCTCTGCAAAAAGCGATCTGGCAAGACAGATCAAGAACCATAAAATTATACACACTCTGACCAATTTTCTCTCAATATTAAATTACTTTTAAAATGGAAACAACAGTACAAATATTTTAAATGCTTGAATTTAGTTTAGACTCTGAAAATCTCAGAGTCCAGGGAAGGTGTTTGAAATAGCACAGACTTAGGGGTCAGACAAATCTGTGCTTGAATCCTGTTCAGTCACTTATTCGGTATATGACCATAATTGCCTGATTTCTCTAAGTCTCAGTTTTCTTAACTGTGCCGTGAGAAAACATCATCAACCTCATGGAATTGTGAAGATTAATTAGTACATCATCTGATACTGTGTGCTCACTAAATGTGTGAGATCATGCTCTCTAAATAAATGTCCCAGCATTAAAGACCTTTGTCTTAACATTTTCCTCTATTAATTACTAGCATTAAAAATTATCTTTTATTCCACCTCAAATAATGACTATTTCTGCTACTTATTGGCTGTGTGTTTTTAAGGGTTAGCTTTAGAACCTATGAAAAAAGTAGTGTTCCAGTCAAAATTTCCTAATTCAAGGATGACTCAATCATTAAATTCAACATTGATATTTTGCTTGGTACTTTTTTAAGTTTTTTTTTAATTGAAGTATAGTTGATTTACCGGGTTGTACCAATCTCTGCTGTATAGCAAAGTGACTCAGTTATACACAAATAGACACTGATTTGTGTATTTTTTTTTTACCATATAATGAAAAAATTACTTAAAATATTCTCCTTTTAAAACAGAATAGTTTGAGAGTCTCCAAAAATTGATCTACTGAACATGTGTGAATTAGTGGAAATTAGGAAACTAGCTCATCATATTACAGACACTCAATTGTTACACACTGAACAACACAGTAATTTTAAATTATTTTTATTCTTATAATGAACTGTTGGTGAAAGAAAGACAGGAAACATAAATTGCAATGACAAAATAGGAGTAAATGAGTGCACTTATCAGGACTCTTAAATGGTACATAAAAATATCTCAGTATTCTTAAGTATTAAAAAAAGAAATGTGATGATAATTCTATCCAATTTGGATTTTCATTATTAGAAGTAAACGAACCACACTTCCTGGTGGCTCAGACGGTAAAGAATCCGTCTACAATGCGGAAGACCTGGGTTCGATCCCTGGGTCAGGAAGATCCCCTGGAGAAGGAAATGGCAACCTATTCTAGTATTCTTGCCTGGAGAATCTCATGGACAGAGGAGCCTAGAAGGCTACAGTAGACAAATTTCATATGATAGTGCTCAAGGAATCTTTAAAAATGGTATATATTAACTTATTTATAAAACAGAAATAGAGTCACAGATACTGAAAACAATCTGATGGTTACCATCAGGGAAAGGCGGAGGGGTAAATTGGGAGATTAGGATTGACATATACACACTACTATATATATATAAAAAATAGTTAACTAATAAGGACTTACTGTATAGCACAGGGAACTATATGGGAAAGGAATCTAAAAAAGCGTGGATATACGTGTATGTATAACTGATAACTCTGCTGTACAGTGGAAACTAACACAATATTGTAAATCAACTACAGTCAAATAAAAATTAATTTTTAAGAAAAGACCTACTGATTTTTAAAATACAAAAAAGCAAGAATTCCTAATTTAAGGTTAAAAGTCAGTTCTTATGTATTTTTTTGAATTAATTTATTTTTATTTTTGAATATGTGGGTCTTTGTTGCTGCAAGGGCTTTTATTTTTCTCTAGCTGCAGCAAGCAGGGGCTACTCTCTAGTTGCCAGTGCGTAGGCTTCTCATTGTTGTGGCTTCTCTTGTGCGGAGCACAGGCTCTAGGACTTGTGGGCTTCGGCGTTTCAGCTTCCGGGCTTTAGACCACAGGCTTAACAGTTAGGGTGTACGGGCTTAGTTGCTCTGCGGCATGTGGGATCTTCCAGGACCAGGGATCGAACCCATCAGCAGGCATTTCCCCACATACATCATGCCTCCTTCGCTTTCAGCTTCTATGCTCCAGTCCCTTTGCCAAGAATGGCTTTCCTTCTCAAACTCTTATCCAATAAACCCTCAAAAGGTAAAACTCCAACTCAAATGGTTTCTCAACAAAGTCTACCTGACTTTCTGATCCTTCCCAAAGTCAGCCATCCATTCAACAAATATTTATTAAGCACATACTATGCATCAGGCGCTATGTAGGTGTTCAAGAATGAGACACAAAACAGGTCTTATACACAGTCATGTTCAGTAAATAGCAGCTATTAATGCTGCTGCCTAACCATATCATTTGAAATAGTTCCACACACAAATATATTTAATTTTATACCTTACCCTGATTTATTTCTTCTTAGCATTTACAACTATTCTCATAATATATTTATTGTCTTTTTTTTTTTTTAAACCACTTTAACCACAATGCCTAGAACACCACCTGGCCCTTAGAAGCTAGTCAAGTCACTTCTGTATCAATGATTTTTATAGTCTAAAGGTAGAGACAGATATTAACTGAAAAATCATAGCAAGAAATATAAAATTACAATTGATGTGTATTCTATCAAAGAGACTCACACAAAGGAAGTGTGTGACTTAGCAGTGTTTAATGTGTTTTGTTTTGATGAGTAGGCAGGGGAGTTGGGGTTTCCCTGACTTCCTTGAGCTGAGAACTCCAGGATATGCAGTTAAGCAGACAACAGACAGTAAGAGGTCATTCACATATGCTATTCCTTCTAAACAGGTTTTCTACAACACAACTCAACTCCTGTCATTTAGTCCCTTAGGTTTCTCCTAAAAGTAAGACCCTCTGGGAAGCCATCCCTAATTTTCCCATATCATGATCCTGCCACTTTTCCTTTTTAGCACTCTTTACATTTATAATTACTCTTTTTGCTTGATGCTATACTGTCCACAGACAAAACATACAAAAAAGCAGAGACCACATCTGTTTTATTACTTGCAATATCCTCAGTGTCAACAGTCAATGGCAGTCCAAAAACTGTTAGATGAATAAAAAGGACTACATCTTAAACCAGTGGTTCTCAAAAATGTGGCTTATAGATCAGGAACACCAGTGTGACATGGTACTTATTAGAAATGCAAACTCTCAAGTCCTACTCCAGACCTAATAAGTCAAACTCTAGAAGTGGCAGACCACAAGCCCTCCAGGAAATTCTGATCCATGATAAAACTTGAGAACCCCTGTCTTAGACACATCAACTATTCAAAATACAACCTAACAACAAAAATTTTGAAAAATATAAAACACAAAGCTTTATAATAATATTTGGTTCTATTTATTGAGTGCCTATTACACCTACTACACAAGGAAATTTTTAAGTAGCCTCTACAAATAATTTTTAGCTAATAATAAGCTAAAAATTTGCCTTCTCTTCAACTCTCCCATACATATACTTTTACACAGTGTGTGTGTATTTTAACAAGGAAAAATACAGTTAGTTGGAGACAAAGTCTAAACCATAACCATGTCTCATATATCTAATTCTAGTCTCATTTCCTACTACACATCCTCATTCCTGCATTCTTCATGCCACATAAAAGTAATCCTACCTACAATACATCCTCATTACTTTCTACTCACATTCACAACATTCTTCCCCTACCCAAAATGATCTATATAAACCCTATTCACTTTTCAAGCCCAGCTCAAATGGCACACCTGGATCCTAAACACCCAAAAAGGAGTTTATAACTTCCCCCTCTCTCCTCATACATTCACTCTCTGTGGGAAAGCTAACACTTTCAAAAATCTAGCCACTTGGTGTATTTGTTGGGACAGCTCTTTAGTCTGAAAAGGTCACATCTTAATAAATTTCCTTTCTGCACCAAAAATAAGAATCTCAGACTCACTCTTTCTGAGTAGTCCACTAGTTTTCTCAAATTTCAGTTCAAGATCACATGTGTCAGACAGGAAAAATGACACCATAAAGTGAAATCATTCAAGCACCTACTTGGCCTGGGCACTGGGAATAACAGGAGTAAGTAAGGCACAGTAACTGTGTAGAACTCACATTTCAGGGGAAGAAACAGATTAACATACAATAGCAGTGTGATGGGTTGTGAATGTGAAGGATTGTTGTGCAGGCAGACACTGGAGAATGACCACCTAAAAATGCAGAGTCAGTGAGTTAGAGAAAGTTCACAGATTAAGTAACTTTGAACCACTCCTCAAAAATCAGGGGAGAAAACAGAAGTTGACTGTCCTCCTAGGAGAACATAATTACCAGGACTTAGTTTTGACTAGAATGTCTTATTCCTCCCAGAGACCAAAATTT